GCAAGATGGTGCAATTTTCAATTTTAAATATCAAATCCTCAAATATCTCAACCCAAGTTCCCAAATTTCCAAATTCTCATATCCTAATCCCATTGTTGCTACTATATGCCAGATAACACGTATTTCTATACGTATCTGATTGACGACTAGCCTTAATCGAAAGTTCTCTCTCGTGATCGGGAGGGGTAATTAACTATAGGGGCTTGCGCCTATAGGAAACCAGAACTCAGATCATAAAGTCCTCGTAAAATGAGGGCGAAATCTCTGGGTAGTGTCTTATCTACAAATCCATCTGCCTTCCAAAATTTACCCCGGAACTTAGTTCGTTAAAACTCCCTCGCCGAATAAGAAAAGCGAGTGGAGGCCGAGGCCGAATTTTTGGAGCCCACAAGGATTTGATAAATGAGAAAGTTATTTCATCAATCTCTGGAGCAATATTACTCCTAAGATGATCCACTACGAATTGAAGCTCATCTTGAGAGAAGTCCCTGTCCAAAACCGATCTATCAATATCTCCAAGAGAATACGTAGCATTTGACCATCCTTGAAGCACACACCTATCCTTCCACTTTTCCTTGGAGAAAAAAAAAACTCCTATTAACTTCTTGTCTTCAACAAAAAATCCATTTCCATCTTTAATTTGCTAAATCTAGTTACCATTCCTTCTAGCCGCAGCATAAGAGTGAAAAAACTGTGTTAGAATCACCTTTGTCCATCCATTTTGCTTTAGCTTTTTTTCTCCACCAAGTGTTCAAACGAGCGAGAGAGACATTCAACTCATGAACCTTTGCCCTTAATAACCACAACCTATCTTCTTAAAACCAAACTTTAGATTCCTCCAACTGTAGTTCAAAAATCACTTTTTTCAAATCATTTCTCAAACCGGATAGATTTTGTAACTTAGCTTTACTCTAAAAGAATAAAGCTCTTAAAATTCTACTAACTTTTTTATTAAGAATATGGACAGAATAACCTTTAATCAAGCTCTTCCATACTTTAGCAAAAATACTAGTAGAAGCATAGTAGGAAACCCAAACAACTTCAAACCGCATCCTTCTTTTCTGGCAACAAACAGATTTAAACACCTCCAACACCATTGGACAGTGGTCAGATGTCACTCTCCGAAGATGCCTAATAGCAGCAAACTGTAAGACCTTCAAGGCTTTTGAGTTTAACAAACACAGGTCTAACCTCTCCAAAATACGAGTACTTTCAATTTTATTGTTACACGAAGTAAAGTTAGGACCCATAAAGCCAACCTCATGAAAATCATTGTCATTCATAAACTTATTCATCTCTTTAGGCCCTTGAGAAAAAAACAAACTTCTTACCACCCCTTTTATCTGCTTGAGACAATAAACAATTAAACTCCCCTCCAATCACCGAAGGAAGACCATTAGAACAAGTCGATTCCAAACAATTCAATAAATCCCTACTCTTATACACCTCTTTACTATCATAAATGGTAGAAATTACCCAGACACCTTTATTACTTACATTTAACTCACCACTAACAACTTGAGCATTAGCCATCTTAACATGAAACGAAGCCAAATCAGTTCTCCAAAGCACCATAATTCCACCAGACAAGCCATCTGAAGGAAATAAAAAATAATCAAAATCCACACCCATAAACCTATTGATTTCCATCCTATCAATAGAAGCAATTTTTGTTTCCACAAGCCCAACAAAGAACACATCATAATCCTTCACAAACTCTTTTAAATATAGAGAGGCTTCCTTTTTATTTGCCCCTCTACAATTCCAAAAAACAAATGACATCATTAAGAAATATTAGGGGAAGGGACCCCACCCCTTATTTTATTAATCGATTCATTTCTCCTAATAAGAGGAAGACTATTGATAGGTCCAAGTGATTTCAACTCCGTCTTAGTTTAAATTCGCCACCAGCTGAACTACCATCAACAGCAGAACAATCATTGGTCAGTAACTCCTGCTTAGTGTCCAAATTAGACACCAATTATGGATTATGTACTACAATTTCTCCCTCCGTAGCTGTATCACACCAACTTCCACTCAACACAATAAATAAATTTTTAGAGCAAGGAATAGGATTCAATCCAGATTCAAGATGCAATTCAGCAGCTAATCCTCCAAAACTCTTCGAAACAAGATTCTTCAGATCCAAGTTGACTTTATCAGCAACATCTTCACAGTGAGCAACTTCATTCAATTCCACAGAAATTTCTGGATGCACCGGATTTCTAGCAACCCCTGCACTCGTATCCTTCAGTTCCAGGTCTTCTTCATCAGCAACAGCTTCTTCATGAATAGCTTTATGTAAATCAACACCTTCCATTATTACATGTATATCTAGCTTCATTACATCAACAACCGAAGAATGCTAATTGTTGATCACATCAGAGTCATGATGTAAATTTCTAGATACACTAGCAATCCCTTTAGCAACATTAACCTCTTTCTCCACCAAACTTTACTCTGATTTCCTCTGTTAACAGCAGCAAAAGGTCTTCTTTTTCTCCCATGATTCACATGTATCCAAGGTCCACATGTAGAACCAATCTCCATTACATCCGGCAAAGCTTTACTAAGGTTCCTATCTTCCACATTAGACTTAGTTGTCTCACTATCACCAGCAACAATGTCCTCCAAATTACATTCATTAATCAAATGACCAATTTTTTCACATTTTAAACAAAATGTCAAAATCTTCCTATATTCAATTTTTTTGAAAAAAATGTCCCGATGAACATTCCACCCAACTTTCCAAAGGATGTTGTTTATCCAATAAGACCCGAACACATACTCTAGCAAACTCCCTTCTTCCCCATTGAAACATATTGCCATTAATTAAAAGATAGTTCTACCAAAGAAGCAATTCTTGCTATATTAATCTCATCCCAACAATGCAAAGGGAGATGAGTCATTCTAACCCAAATTGGAGATGACAAACCCTTCAAAGATGTAGGTAAGAAATTTGGCATCCACTTATCAATACCAACAATGTGGCCATTTAAATACCAAGGTCTATCTGATAAAACATGCTTCATAGATTCCACTAAAAAAAATGAGCATAATAACCAACCTCCTCCGAGAATAGTAAGGTGGAACTTCCCAAATTGGGACCATTGTCGACGTAGCTCTGCATCAATCACCTGAACTGGGATAAATTTTCCAAAAACTATAACAACAACTGAAAATTTTAATTTTTCAGAATTGGCTGCTACACTGGGCTCATGTAACTTGACTAATATTCCATCTTCTGAAAGAAAAGATTCATTATTAGAACAATTAATCTTTATGTTTGGTTGTCTAGACCAAGGCTTCAAAGGAACCTTATCAGACGGATCTTCATTTCCTTTCGTTGTTATACCATCATCCACCAATTTAACAGCAGTAAATGAATCAATATTACTTTCCTGAGCATTAACACAATTGGCTGAAACCTTATCACAATCAATTTTCACAGGCGAAACCTCATCATATACCATATCAGATTTGAAAATAACATTACCAAATCTATTCACAAATAGTTTCATGCCTGAAAAAGAAAAAGCATCAAAATCATTAGGTCAATCTACACGCATCTTACCTCCAGAAGTAGGAGTAGAATGAGATGGCAAACCATTATCAATTTCAATACTCTTTCCTTTGCCAGCAACCGGGGACGAATATTTCAAAATATTTGACAAAGGTTCTTTAATTACCAGTTGAGCAATCGAAACATCTCTGCTGAAAGATACCACCACCTTGCCTAGATTTAGAGCCATCTACGTTTCAGGAAGAAGATGAAAACAAGCCAAGAGGAATCCGGCAACCAAAAGAGGCTGCCGCCGGCGCAGCAGCAATGAGCGAAAAATCCACCAAAAGGGCGGAACAAGGCAAAATTAAAAAATTCGGGAATTTCTCTCTCTAAACTTCTCTCTATACTGAAATGGTAGTTGGCTATTACCTCTCTAAACTTCTTTAAACATCAAGATATTACATCATTCTGCAATGATATCATCATTACTCCACAATAATCTAAGAGGATCACCACCCTTGTTTACATCTGCTTTGCTGCATATAAAATTTACGAACAACAACATTCTCTAACCATAGTTTGCAAATATACAAGATCATAGGTATTATTTATTTCTTTCTTGGAACTGTAAAAAACCTAACAGGCAGCTACGCATTTCCACATAGACTTCTCACATGCAAAGATTGTTAACTAAATCATTTTTTCAGGTTTTCAATAGGTCGCAGCACTACTTGAATCACAACCTGGTACCTGGGATCCATCAATTTCAGCCCACACTTCATTAATCCTACCAATGAAACGAAACGGGGAATTATACTGTGCAATGGAATATGCATTTTTGTCCAGAAAATCAGTGGAGTTGGCCCAGGAAGATCTCCTCAAACTAATCGCTAGTTTCTCAGCTTCCTTGACAATATTGTTATCACGAGCAAATCCAGAAAACTGCCTTATTGCAACACAATGAGTTGGCCAATGAACGGGGTGGAGGTTCAATTCTGGGAGAGGAATGGGTGGGTAAGCTTGGAATTTCACAGGAAGATAGAATCTTACAAAGTAGGCTGAGGAATGAAGGGGGCCTGCATCTGGAACAATACTGGTCAAGACCGGGGCAGTCATTCTGATCCTTGAGGAGTTCAAGTTAGCTCCTTGTATGTACTGAAACAATCTGAAATATAGATGATATCAATGACATAGAATATGAATGTTATCTGTTTGAAACAAATCAATAAAGCTATAAGGCCTCACAATTAATCATTATTATTCATTATTGTCATACGATATATAAGTAGTAGCTACAATTTAATTGAAAATATAATATTATTGACTTTGTGATGACGGTAAGTTATTCAAAACAATAAATAATTTTACTCTTAAAAATTGAAAAGAACAAATATCATAAACATGACATATCATAAATGCTCTCATTAAATCCCATAAACATTAAGACAAAAATAACTAGATTTCACTAAACTAAGGCAACAACTCATGGCCCACAGAAGAAAGTAAGAGAACTTGGCTACTATGTTTATTAAGTTGGTAACTTTAATAGAGGGATTAGATAAGTCAAATACATTGAAATAGATAATATATACATCATATTGTACAACGCAGTGCCAACCTTTTAAAATGCTCAAGAACGTAGCCACTATAAGCCATCATAGATAGAGAATGAACAAGTGCAAAGGATCTTAGAAAGTTGGGAATGGAGTAAATGAGGCTTGGAAAAGTAAAGATTGAGTAAAAGCTCCTTAAGGCTATCTAATTTTAGGCTTTCCAAGGAAAATGGGGAAATTGACGGGAGCCTTAGAGAAGAGAGAGGAAGGGCTAGCAATTTGAAGGACATAGAAAATGGGGATGTAGGACTGCTTGCCTAGCTGTTGTGATAAAGCTGCATACATGATCACACAAATAAACCACATGCATAATATTCTTTCTATAGAAATTTTGCTCAAAAAATACAAGAGAAAGGTCTTTGAATACTTGAAATATAAATCAAACAATAAAAATTTTGATGACGCAGGTGTCAATATCAATGCATTCATGTTGGTTCCTCTTTTGTCATGAAATCGTAGATTTAACCAAAGCTTTAAAAAGGAAGTTTGGTAGAGATCAATTTTTAAATTTAACTTTTTCAAGCATGGAATATAAATGATAGCGCATGCTATTAAGCGACCAACTACTTTGCTCTAAACATCAACCTTGTGTTTAAGAATAACGGTATACTCATGAAAAAAATTGTACCTACGTGGCATGTCTGGAACTCATATTTTTCAAGCATTCAAATATTTGAGATCCTCTTGACCCATTCACTGTAAACTCTCTTGACAAAAGATAGTAATGCCAATATTAGAGTGTTTGCACTAAAACACAAATTCATAGCCATGTGCTGAGTGACGTTGGCTTGCATCATTTAGCTTCTTACTAAAGTAATTGGATGTTGTTCCAATTTAAAGACTCCATCAATGGTAACTACAAAGGCATCAAAAGATACCTTAAGACCCTTGCTAAAGTTGGGCAACGTCAATTCAACTAGGCCAGTCAAGAGCTCTTTGATTTAAAGAGGGCTCTAAAAGTAGTCAAGGTGCATTTAAATTCACCCTCTTTTTAGGTATTCAGTGATAAGAGCCCTGTTAGTACGAAAGTTTCAAATAAAACTCCAATAAAAGATAGCTAATTGATGAAAGTGACGAACATCATACATAAATGTTGACACTAGCCATTCTCTAATAGCTTCAATCTTCTCAAAATCAATGAAGACACCTTCAACCAAGACTACAAAGCCGTGGCAAATAATAGAAGACATCATAAATGGGCACTTTCATGTGTTTATATATTTTTTGAAGTAAATTACCTCAAAAACTAATCGATGTTGGCTGACATGATTAAGGCAAGTGATTAAAGATTGGAATATCGTCAAAATAGAAGACGAAGAAATGACCAATAAAAAGTATGAGTATGTACTCCATGACTCACAACCATACTCTTGAGCATCACTTAAGCTAAGAATACAACAACTATTCATAAAGGCTTATCTTCATATTAACGACTATCTTTCATTCACCTTCTTGAATCTAGAATTGGTGGCATCCACTCTTAAGATCATTCTTTACAACTTTATCTAATGGAGACATCGATAAGAGGTTTCGACGCGTCTATCAGAGGCGACACAGGAAATCGATGGCCATGATGGAGTATTTACTTTTGATGCATTTTATGTATTAGTTATTTTATCTTAGCCTTTTTTCGTTTTTGCTCTTATGGGTAGTTTGTCACTATTGAAGCCCAATGGGCATTCTAGTCTTTTATTTTCTTTGTCATTTTGAGACCTATATATATATGGTCATTCTTATGTAATGGATGATGATTGATGAATGAAAAATATTATTTGCTTCTTCTTCTTCGTGCATGAGGGCTAGAGAGAAGGGAGAGAGCTCGAGGTGAGCAAGTGCAAGGCCCACCAGTCGTTGGAAGAGTTCGCGACTCGTGGTAATTCCGTCTTCTATCTTTGTTCTTTCTTCATCTTCCCTTCCCTTCCCCAAATCAATCGCCGGTCATGTCTAACTTTCCCACCACCGGTGGCTCACCCCCCCTCCACCCATTTAGTCCTCTAGCACCACCACTCAAACTCCACCCCGCTCCACCAACCAAGCTCCAACCCGCCCCATCCCCTTGCCGCCGGCCCCTCTTCCCTCATAATTCCATTCATTATGATGACTTCAATCATCATAATGATTTCCTAATTTAGCTCGCATGAGAGGAAAACTTAGGTTTTATTTGAAATTCAAATTTTGAATTTCAAATTATTGCCATATAGGTAGGTCCAAATTAGGAAATTATCAATCATGCAATCATTTTCAAAATAAATCAAAGTGAATTTATTAATTCCTTTTCCTAATCCTCCGCACCTAATTGGAAACTCCCAAATCTCCTCCCTAATCCCCTCCCCTCCTTTACTATGTCGCCGGCCCCCATGGGGGATTTCCCCCATTAAATGCTCAATCAATTATCCTCCCAAAATTATTCAAATCCTGAAATTAATTTCAGGATTAGCATAAAACTCCTCTCCCCCTCTCTCAACACTGCCGGCCACCCCTCTTAATGGGCTCCCATTAATGCTCATTAATTCCCCTAAACCTTATTTGAAATTTGAAATCAATTCCAATTTGATTGCCTCCAAAATTACTCAAAGCTGAAACTAATTTCAGGTTTGGAGTAAATCTCATTATCCTCCATCTAACCTAAGCTCTCTCACCCAAACCACCCGCCCCCTCCCACTCTACTTTGGCCGCCCCTCTTCTTGCTCCCTCCCTTGGGAAGTTTTGATTGCTTTTAATATTTGAAGCCAAGAGAAGAGGACGACGGACTCTCACCTTCTCTTCGATGTTGTATGGCCAATCCCGAGATCGACTATGGCTTCGTCTTTGGTGATCAAGGAAGAACGGATCTCCTTGGTTCACCCTTCTTTGATATGAATCCCGATGCAAACGAATCCGCCAACAGATACATCCACTGTAACCTCTTCACACTCGTGCCTTCCATTGAAGAACATTCCCACCGGATCGTGGGTAATCACCGGCCGATTCATTCCTCCTCCACCACCGACGACCTTTCCGTGGATTAAGACTCTTGGTGTTGCGACCTTCCTAGTGGCATCGTTGGGTGTGCTGAAGACCTTTCTCCGCTAAGACGTACTTTGAGCATGAGTGAGTATGGTAACTCATCATGAACTTTCTAAATATTAACCGTGGGATTTTATTACAACATATTTGATTTTTTTACTGTGATAATTTCAGATCTATCTTAATTTTTCCTAAACTTCTAGTCTTGTAATTGCTTACCATAATAAAATTGACGATTGAGAGTCGTTTAATCTTGCCTTACAAAACATTATTCTTAAGTAGCAAGCATCGTGTATCTTTTAATCTTTTAATATTTCTGTGCAATTCTTGTTTGTCTCACATCATATTTGGTATTAGAGCATGGTAGGCATGCATGTCATGTACTAGAAAAACATCATAGGGTCTAGTCTTGCGTTAGAGCCTAAATTTTGCATGCATATCATCGCGTATTTAATTTTTACTCACTGTTTTCACTGCTGTCCCTGCATTTCCTGCACACATTTAGTGAAGTTTAAGTCATTCTACTTTGTGTCTTAGTGCTGCCATTAGACCCATAGCGATTCTAAGTGCTTAGGACAACTACACCCTTAACTTTAGCTGCTGTCCTCACTGTTCCAGCAACGTCTAGGCGCCTTTTAGCGAACTTAAAGTCATTGTTTAGGTGCTTCCCTTCAGCCCTTAACCCTCCCTAGTGTCCCCTAGCACCCAACCATAGATCCGGAACACATTCAAGAAACCTTAGACCTAATTGTGGGCCAACTGGGAATGGTTAAACAGCCGATTAGGAACACCCAAACAAACTTAGCTGAATTTAGACGCCAAACGGGTGAGAGAGGCTTGACAACATTGAGAAGATAGGAAACCCAGCAATCTACACCCCCTCTAGACCCCACTCTCCTTATGGAGATGAAAACCGTATTGAATATGAATCTCCTAGAGACCACTACCGACCCAATCACAGACCCAATCACGATCTGGTAGGATGTGACACACCTTGGAGAGATAACGATAACCAACTGCTTAAGAATATTAAGATAGATGCCCCGTCTTTTGATAGCACGTTAGATCCCCAAATTTTTCTTGATTGGCTCAAAGGGATGGATAGCTATTTCAAGTGGTACAATATTTCGGAAGAGATAAATATCTGATTTGCTAAGATGAAGTTGACTGGTAGGGCTGATCAGTATTGGGCTAACTTAGAACACATGCGAGAAACCCGAGGAGAGTACCCCGTGACAGACTAGGGGACGATGAAGCAAGAGTTGAAGCGAAAATACCTTCCCCCTTCCTACTAACCTAGACTTTTGGATCATTGGAATAGACTGACCCAAGGAAGCAAGCCCGTAAAGGATTACATTTCAGCCTTTGATGATTTCATGATCCGTTGTAATGGGGATGAAACCACCACTCCTGCCCAACTTTTGTCGATGTTTAGAGCTAGACTAAGAGAAGATCTTCGGAATGAACTGTTTGCAAGGGGAGTGAACACGTTTGAAGCTTCCTGTAGTTTTGTGCTAGATTTAGAAGAATCTCGGAGCCACACCTC